GCATTGGCATTTCAAATAAGAGGGCTTTCCGTTCAAGATAGAATATACTATGATGACATCCAAGTTTGCTTATTAACGAGCAAAATTGTCCATAACGAAGCAATTGTTAAAAGTACATCTTGACAAGTTCTGAGTACATGACTACTCAAGTGCTTCCTTGTTACAGGGTACTAAGAAAACAAAGAAGAAATAATTGACCTCTTGAAGTAGAATACTTACTCTTTCAGCTATAAACAATAGTAGTAATAAAAACCAGCTGCAAAAGTGAACTTATCAAAGGACCCAAATCCCCATGTTTCCACTTTCGGCCTATGTTCCTACACAATGCCTCCCCAACTGATACCCTTTGCTGTTCTCTTTCTTTCTACGTTAGAGGATCCGTATCATGAGACCCTCCCGCCATTGAGCCTCGGGGAATTCCCAGTTAATAAAACAGACCGTCCCTGTATTAAAGAGAGACTTCTCTTCTAGTTCCTATTCAGAAAGACCTGTCGGAAATCGCGTTATTACCTTATCGAACCCAAGCTCAACAAACATTTGGATAATCCACATACATTTTACCATCTCTCTCTCTCTCTCTCTCTCTCTCTCTCTCTCTCTCTCGGGCATCCCATCTTTCAACAGTTAAATTTTGTTATTACTCTTAGTATAAATGGACTGCATGTATATGCACAAAATCATACCCTTTATATAAAAACATCAAGGCATGAAAAGCCAACATTATGCGCAGTAGACCCCGTATCTGGAGTCTATTATCTGCTAAATAAGATTGAACCAGATGCAGAATATGTTACCATAACTGGACAACAGTTTCTGAATGTCATCTTCTTACCTGAAAAGTTTCACACCTGCATTTTCAGCACCTTGCTACTTCAAATGCATCTTCAGTTAAGTGTCTTTTTTCGCTTTTCTGCTTGTACTTCCATAGAACCTATTTCATCCAATGCAATAGCAGAAAGTGGCACTATCCCAAGTTTTCCAGCTCTCTCTCAATCCAAGCCTCACTATCAATCTCGTCATCCTTGGCTAATTTCTTCAGTGAATTCTTTTCCAATTTCCTCCTCTTCAATCTCTCCTTGATTCGATCAATATCAATATTTCCATTGTGATCGCCAGCAGAGATGGTCTGGCAAATTTCTTTTTTGGCGTCATCCTTAATTGGCTGACAAACACCATCCTCAACTGCACTATTTGCACTACCACACTCACTCTCTGTCTCCTTGACAGTGTTGACGATGTTGCAGGATTCTTTCTCACTGCATTTGGATGTCACGGAGGTAGACGACCCTCTGGCCTCCACCAATTCCATATTCCTGGAATCTTGTGCAACAACTGACACACTTGAGATACAAGACTCTGTGCTACTTGACACTGCCTTTCCAGCAACAGGTTTTAATTCAGTCGACCTGCCAGACATGGATGGTGTTACTTGTTTCTGATTCTGCTCCAGCAACTGAAGCATCTTTTGAATAACCTCTGAGAAAGAACAAATAGAAGAAGAAGTTAGGTGCTCAAGTTACTAAGGTCGTGGAACAGCATAATAGGATGGAAGGGAAACATTTACCAAGGAATAAGGGTTAGTTCATAAGAAAAAGAAACATATACAAGGAAGGTCAAACAACCAAAAGTATTGACTTCACACAACTTCTGGATTAATAATTGTTATCCAGTGTAGAGCATGTCTTAGTTTCAGGATTTTTTCCTTTGAGACAAAGTTAAACTGCAGGTCTTCCATACAGAGTAGGGTTTGTCTTCCGCTTCCTTTAAGATATTGCGAGTGTATATCAGTTTACATTTGTGAATAATATAAGTTTGACATGATTGAAACTTTACATGCCTTTGCCCAACCATTTAAAGATTACTAAAACAAGACCGCATTTCCTATGTGTTTTTCTTCTAATCTATGAAGACTTTGTAAAGTCAATCCAAGTGAACCAATGATATCCAAACGTGAAAATCTGAAAACTAATTGTCTGAATTGTTAGCAGAAAGAACAGCTCTGATATTTAATTAAAAGCTCTACAGTTAGCCCGCAGATTCAGTTGCCCACTGTCTTCTTAAGAACTCATCAGCTTTATTATGATTTTAACTCTACAATGGAGATCTTCTTTCATCACCTTCAAACGACATGGAATTGCGAAAAACTAATATGGGTAAATCCGTAAATATATAACATACCTTCTAACTGTTTCGGTGCAACGTCAAATTGCATCCACCAGGGATTCCCTTTTCCAGTAGGCAATTTCACTTTCAGAAGTTTAGCAGCAAGGAACATGGAACCAGCAGCGATATAATGGGGCTTATACTGCAAGCACAGTGTTGTGCGAAGCCTACCAACCACATGATTATTAATTTCTGGAGTTCAAAATTTGGAAGTAGAAAATAAGTGAATCACATTCTATAAATAAAGAACCATCACCATCGCGTGAAAAGATACTAACCAATCATTCACAAAATTCCAAGCTACTTTGACCATCTCCTTGTTAGAAATTTCCAACCTCTTCATAGCTGCAACAAGTGTCTTGTAAGGATGTTCGATGTTAAGATCAAATGCAACTGTCGCAAGCAGCATTCTCTCACCAGCTACAATCGACTCCTTTTCCTTATCATAGATATCCTGTGATATGAAGCATGACATTAGGAAGAAAAAAAAAGAATAGAAGTTAGCGGGAAATAACAAAGCTGTGATAATTGATGACATACCTTTTGTCTGATCCTCAGTGGAGCTGATGGATCCCATTTATAAACTAACTTGTAGGAAACAACAACAAAATCACTCAGCCAGCGTGGTGTTTCTTCAGCTTTGCAGGCAAGGAACATGCTCACCGTCGCGACAATCTGCACAGAGCGCAGTGCCACACCAAAGAGCGCATGATGAATCAAAAGAGAGGGACATACTTATAATGCAATACTGTAGGCCTGATTTGGCTTTAAATTGATATCTGAACCAATTCCACTTAGTCTTACAAAGGGTAACATCAGAATTTACTACGAAAACAATTGCACATTTGCAATATATTTTACTTCACGGTAGAGCTAAACATAACATTGTGTATACAAGTGTTTTATCCTGTCAAGCAGCTCAAGTCCCGGTTTGGCAAAACAAATATTTAACTGTCTGCAAGATATTAACCATGCTTAAAAGAACTTAACTGCAAATCTGTGTTTCATAGTCAATTGCGATTACAAGAGTAAGAAATGACTTCTACCTGCCAATGGTTCTTTGCATGAGATTGGCGCATGTAAAAGCGATGGCACAACATCATTGCAGTAGCTATGGTCACTTGAGGCCTGAAAAATTAAATATTCAACAACCTCCTATGAGAAATTGAGCATAAACAAGTTGCATGAATTCTCTTGGAAAAAAGTACGGGAATGAGAGAAAGAGACCAACGCAAGGATATAGTGCTCGTGCTACACAGAGATATCAAACTTTTCTCTACTGATTGAAATAGAGTGGATCTTACACTTTCAGCTCTATTCCAAGCTCTTGCAGGAAAGAGCAGTACAACTTCCTTAGATGTGACTCTTTTTCATAATCGATCCCATCCTTCCTTGACGGAGAGTGATCCTCTATTTCTTCTTTAGTGAAGTACCATCGTTGGGTCAAAGACTGAGATTTTTCTTGAATGTGCATGCTAGATGCAACTCTTGCAAGTTCTGGATAAGAAGGATTCTCTGGCAGTTGTCCTGCCATGTTCTTTCCCTCTTTCGCCAAGCAGATTAGCGGAACAGAATTTGGAAGCTAAATAAGTTCTTCGTTCCAAATAGGTAACTGGAATATTCTGCAAGTACAAAAATATAACTTTCTTAGGAAGTTGAATCCTTGCTAAGTTTAATCATCCAAGAAAATTCATAGAGCCGAAAACTTCCAAGCCAGTTGCATTCATGGTCAGCTAACAGTAAATGGCTAATCCGTTTAGAATCTTAAACCTTTTCCTACTTTTCCATCATGAACCGTAATGGAATCATGCTTACAGACAACTTAAAATGACTAATGCTGACAGCCAAAGACTGCTTATTGTTGAATATAGACATCCAAGGCAAAGGCTGTTTATTGTTTAATTACCGAAAATTGTTTAACATTGGTAAGAAAAAAGAAGAGAATAATTTGCGCTAAAGAAATATCATAGAGACAATAAACCTCAGTGCATTTGGAAGTAACGCACATCCATTGGACAGGTTTAGCATAGAAATCGAATACCCTTCTCTAATTTCACCTTTCTGGTACGGAGTACTTTTAACTTTTAAGTTATTCTTTTACTGAAGAGGACCTAAATAAAGTGGACTACATAAGAGATTTCACATAGCTGATCCCAACTACATATTGATAATTTGAAACCTATTTTCTTCACACGAAAGAAGTGGTGGTATGGAGATTTCTCAATTATGTGTTGATAACTTGAGCGCTTATTACTGCAAAATTAGAAGTAACCAATCAAAACATTTCTACAAAATTGGAAGTTATAATGAGAGGCAGCGAAGGGAACTGAAGGCTAATTTCAGCAAAACAATGGGATTAGTTGACACACAAAGAGCATCCCTTCTTTTTGAATTCATTAAGACAAAGTCAACACATAGAAAATGACACACACTTCAGATCCAAACACCTGAAAATTAAAAATAAAAGGCAAAACATGATCTTTGTAGAGAACTCTTAATTGAATTGATCATTTACCCCAATCATATCAAGTACATCATTAAGCGTTTCTACAAAAGATACTGCGAAAAACTTACCCAAAAGGAAAGTAGAACAAAATAGCAAAGGCAATTTGACCCAAAACACGAATCATAAACAAGCCATAAATCTAAACATCATTATAAAATCACATGCTTCCACTTTCAACACAATATATTGAATCTTGATCTCTTAAATTTCAAGGAAAAAAAATAAGATCTTGAATTTCTCATTACCGAGCTACCTTAATTAAATTGTATAATAATTAAAACCCAGAAAGGGAAAAACAA